CAACCGGGACTAAAAGATCCTATCTTTATTTCCGGTTGGCCCAGGGATCTTTACTCCCGGGGGATAATATCAACCGGGAGTAAAGATCCTATCTTTAGTCCCGGTTGGTGTTATCAACCGGGACTAAAGATATCGGGGGGCCTGACAAGGCCTGACAGATTTAGAACCGGGACTAAAGATCATTTTTAGTCCCGGTTGGTAACACCAACCGAGACTAAAGATCAAATATGCCCGCTGTAGCCACCAACCGGGACTAAAGATCATCTTTAGTCCCGGTTTTTAGTGGAACCGAGACTATTGTGGATTTCGGGCGACCGACCAAAGATGGTTTCTCCACCAGTGATACTACCTCCATTCAAAAATAATTTCATTTTTCACTCATCCCACACATATCAATCCAAAGACAAAAAGGAAAAACTACAGAGTCATTTAATTGTCTCCCACTTTGATGAAACTCAATACAATTGTTTCCCACTTTTACAAAATCTATTGTTTGAAAGATAAAATTATTTTGGGATAAATATGATAGTAAAAATAAATTATTTTAGAATTGAGAAAGTAATACTATATAATCGTCGTACTGATGATTGCGTTGGAGGCTAATTTTTTTTCGAAAATATGTAAGAGGATTGCACACCTTTTTATTAAGAGAAGTAAAATTTACGCAAGAAACATAGGAGAGGGACAAAACGGAAAGGAGAAGAAATTAAGTTTATTCTTGTGCTACAGGTTGGACGACCTGGCGACCTAGCACTCTACGAGTTGGAGGCCAACAATTTAGAGTCCAACCCATGAATAAAACTCTTAATCTCATATAGTTTCGTGTTAGTACAAAAACCAGCCATGCATGGTTTGGAAAACTTATCAAATTTTTATACAACCAGCCAGCTGTAGAATCGTTGCAATGTCCAAATGTTAATAATATATGGTTGAACTTATCCATATACAACCAGCCAGCTGTAGAATCGTTGCAATGTCCAAATGTTAATAATATATTCTTGAACTACTACCATGCTTGGAATCAATTTTTGACACAACGAATTTATCACTGTGATCAGCACTCCAGCGGCACTGCGGCAGTTGTTCGGTGTTCCATCGTCATCTTAGTTAGCTTCTCTCTATGATATGGTTGTCACGTGTACTAATTAATTACTTATTAAATAGCATGTCAAATTTTGACCTCCACATATTTGGCAGGTACTCCCTCCATCTCGAAAAAACGAATCTAGTACTAGATGTGACATATTCTAGTACAATGAATCTGGATAGAGATAGAATGTGTCACATCCGGTACTAGTTTGGTTTCTTATGAGACGGAGGGAGTAGGTAATTGTTGCATACTAATCTCGTTCTTCGATCTCCATCTTTATCCTAGTACATTTTAATCGGGTGCCATCAATGCCTACACGTTGCTCACATACTCCTACATGGAGGCGGATCCAGCATTTGAGCTATGGGGGCTCGAGCCTCCACTACTGACATGAGGATTATGGGAACCCCACGAAGCCTCCACAAAATTATTTGTCATACGTAGGTAGGAGAGCATGTTGTAGTTTTGTTCTAGCTTGTTCAGACTCTCCTACTATTTCTTTTTGGGATCCACCACAGATAGAGATACACCAGTCACTCAAGTGACTAGCAGTGATTGCCAGGTTTATATGCTTCTAGTATCATAGTGAACATTTTGTGAAAAAAAGATACCAACGGATATATGCTATACACTAGTAATAAGTACGTAGGTCAACAACCATGTTGTTATCAAACCTACTTTAGAACGGAGTGAGTTATTTATCTCATAATCTGAATTAATACCATCTTTGTTTAAAAAATATATGATTTATATTAACTTTTGATACGACCTTTGATCATTTTGATTAAGTATTTTTTTATTGTGACTTAATTTACCTTAAAGATATTTTAATTATGACTTATGTTTACACTAACTTTTTTTTAAAAAAAAGAAATATCCAACGTTAATATTGTAATATACAATATTTAAAATGGAGGAAGAATATATAAATTTTCCCGGCGTAAACAAAGATGAGAGAAAAGCAAATTAGTAATAGCTTTTAGCTTTTGCAAAGTAGTACTGTATTTGCTAGTTTTAATTAGTTAAGTCAACCTAGCGTCCAACATGCATGTAAATCCTCATCTGTGCCGCCTGCTGCTAGTAGTAGGTGGCCGGCTGTAAAACCCATGCTTTCTTCTGATACA